CCCCGCCCCCACCTTGACCGTGAGCGCCTTTATCTCAGCCGCCTTGCCCTCAGCCCACGCGTCGCGCCTGGCGCGCTCCGCCGCCGCCCACCCCTCCCGCTGGCGCCGCAGCTCACCCGCCCAGCCCTCCTTGAGTGCGGCGATGGCGGCGCCGTAGCGCGCCTCGGACGCCTGCGGGCGGCGCCGGGGTTGAGCGCAGCAGGCGCGTGAGCGCTGCCTATGCAACAACATGTGTGTGCGCAGGGTCCATGCTCGGCGCGCCCAAACATCAGCATCTCGTCATTCCGACGATGCGGGTTAAGTGGGTGCAGGAGCACAATGGATTGAGCCATGAAACAAAGTCAACAGCCACCAACTGCATCCCAGAATCAACCTCGCACCTGGGAGGCCTCCCCCGCCGCAGCGAGGGCGCGCGTGAGGTCGTCCTTGTCAGCCATCAGCCGGTCAATAAACGCCAGCTGCCGCGCCGCCGCCGCCTCCCCCTCGCCCCGCGCCGCCGCCGCCGCCTTCGCCCCGCGCGCGCGCGCGGCCAGGAGCTCCGCGGCGTGCGCGCGCGCGCGCTCGGCCGCCGCGGCTTCGGCGGCGGCCAGGGCGGCGTCGCGCGCGGCAACCTCCTGCTCCAGCCGCCGCAGGCGGGCGCGGACGCCGTCAAACACGCTCTCCGCCAGCGCCGCCGATCGATTCCCGCCCGCGTCGCCGCAGTTTTCGGCCGGCACCTCGCCTGTCACGGCGCTGCCCCGGCCGCACGCGCGAGCCCCGGGCGCCGCGGCCGTTTGCGGGCCTCGTGGCGCAGCGGCGGCCGCGGGCGTGTGCCTAGGTGGTGCCGGATCGACTGCGGCGGCCGCTGCCTCGCCCTCAGCCTCCTGCTCAACCGAATCCAGGTAGCCCAGCAGGCACAGCAGCTTGTCCGCCGCCGCGTCCCGCTGCTCCCCCCGGCCCTGCTGCGGCATCGGCTCTGCCAGGGGTGCAGACACGGGAGCGGCAAGCGGCGACGCCAGCGGCTGGGGCGCGGTGGGCGGTGGCGGCGGCGCCTTAAGTGGTAAGGGCGTGGGGGCTTCCAAAGAGGGTGGTGTGGCCGCGACGGCGGCGGGCACCTCAGCCGCCGCTGCTGAACCCGTGGCGTCAACAGAAGAATCGTGCCCCAACCAGCTGCGCCGCCCGTCCAAGCTCCGCCGCAGCCGTGCGAGTGCCGGCGGCTTGGCCGCGCGCTGCTGCTCACCGCTGCCCTGATGTGGCTGCCCGGACGGCGGCCGCGGCGCCAGGGCCTCGCAGGACGCCTGGTCGCGGCTGCGGCGCGGCACCTGCTGCTGCTGCTGCTGCTGCTGCTGCTGCTGCTGCTGCTGCTGCTCCTCTTGGCGGCCGTCCCAACCTGCCGGCAATCCCCCAGACGGCAGCCCCGTGCTGCCCTGGCGGCATGCCCCCTGCGCAGTGGGTAGGAGCTGCTGAGATTCCGATGAGCCGATAGGGTCAGCTGCACGGCTGCCAAGCTCGCACTTGTGCATCAAAGGCGTTTCCGATTCGCCCTCGGTGCCACTGCCACCGCCACTCCGCCCCAGTGCCGCCGCCCCAGCCTCCGACGCGAACAGCCGCCCTCGCAGCCCCGCCCGCGGCGCCGCCGCCCCCGCCGCTGTGGCGACACTCGGCGCCGCGCCGCACTGGACGCTGCAGGCCTGCAGCGGGCGGTGATACAGCCGCGCGCGCGCTGCCGGAGCGCCGGCCGCGTCGTCGGGGATCTTGGGGGAGGCTGCCCGCTGAAGCTGCGGCGG